TTTGCCCGCCCCCTTACACCACCCCCTTTTTTTTTTCGGCCCGGCCCACAAACAGAATATTTTACATTTTTCAAAGTTCGAAACCATTAGTATTTCGTTCGAATAAACGATGTTTACTATATTTATTTATTATTCATAGCTCATTATATCTTTGAAATTTACGAATTTTATTTGTGTCCAAATGTTTCCACGATTTATTTTTAAATAACAGATACTTTTAAATCTCGATAATCAAAGGGGAGTAACTACTAAGATCTAGGTGTATTACAGATACTTTAATATTTTAAGTTGTGTCCCTTGCTGCTTGTAAGTTCCTGAGTGACTTTTCCCAAACAGTTACAAAATAAAATGTTCAGAGTTCGACACTCCAAACAAGGGTAGAATCCAAGACAACAAGAATAGGTAACGCAACCAAGATCCCATCCACTCTAAATACATTATTGGAAAAGGAAATCCGGCTATGTGCAGGCACGTCGTTCCTGGCCCCATGGCTGACAAGTTACCTGTACGTCATCGCTAAAAATTGCCATCTTTATTCTCAGTGCGTAATTGCTTTTATTTATGTTAGCATAAAAAAATATGTGCACATATCATTTCATAAAATTTAAACATTTATTTATTTATCTTTAGTTTGTAATTTCTGAGATAAAGGGTTCTGGTTAAGAACACGTAATATCTGATGGTATAGATGACACGCAATATGGGACAGTGTAGATGACACACAATATGGGACAGTGTAGAGGACACACAATATGGGACAGTGTAAAGGCATGGGCAGTGTTTGGGTTTAGAGAGGTGCGACGGTGTAGAAAATGATGACCACTGTGCCGTGGGGCTTGAGAGTGTTACGTATGAAGTAGAGGATAGGACCGCCGTGCTCAATAGTTGGGAAGCGGGTTGCACATACGGGGTATGTGTTATCGGGGTGTCATGTTTTGAGGCGACAGAATTAGGATAATGGTTGGAGAGTGTTAAGATGGTATTAAGGAGAGATGTGAAGGAGAGAAAATCCGGGGGCTGGATGAGGGAAGAAACAACCCAATAGGGTTGTTAACGAGGTATCAAGTTTTTTACTGTTTCATTGTTTCTGGTAACATATTTACACATTGTAACGGAACTATTTCTAAGTGGGGTTGTACACTCTGTTACGCGCAGTATTTAAAAATATTGCGCCTTAAGACATCTAGTAATAACTTGTTAAAAAGTGAAACAAAGGAACTATTTACATCAGTGGTTCTCAACATTTCTAATGCCGCAACGCTTCAATACAGTAGCTCATGTTGTGGTGACCACCAACCATACAATTATTTTCGTGGCTACTTAGATATATATATGTGTGTGTGTGTGTGTGTTTTCCGATGGTCTTAGTCGGCCCCTGGGTAAGTTTCGTTTGACTCCCAAAGGGGTCGTGACTCACAGATTGAAAATCACTGATTTAGATAATTGAAAACGTAAGCATGCACAAATTGGGGCGCTGGGGCAGGCACACTCGGATCTCTATTCCTGATTAGTTGAAAGTCGGTGGTGGAGTACAGCATGCCGGTCCAATCCTTTTTAATCTGAGCTGCAATGAAAAAACTGGGTCGAAGTCAGAATCAGGGTCTGAGATGATTATAATTTAACTAAACAAAACACGAACACAAGAAATTTGAAAAAAAAATACAACTTTAGCGTTAACTTGAACAGCACGGAAAAGTTTTAAGTTTATTTGACTATTGACATGATTTAAGAAAGGTGACATGCTTTAAATAAGCGACTCTCAAACTGCCTAACATATACCTCACAGGTTTTATACTCAAAGGTATACAACAGTGGTTCTCAACCTACCTAATGTCACGACCCTTTAATACAGTAGCTCATACTGTGGTGACCCCCAACCGTAAAATTATTTTCGTTGCTACTTGATAAATATGTATTTTTGGATGGTCAGAGCCGACCCCTGTGTAAGGGTCGTTCGACCCCCAGAGGGTCACGACCCAGTTGCCGAATGCCGCTGGTATACAATTACAAAATATGAACAAATTGGTTCATAGAAATTGTTCATTTAAAAACGAAAATTGAGGAACTAATTTCATGTCGTTTCATCACTTTAAAAATCACCAATGAAAATTGACCCGTTGATGACCCACATTACCTTGTACCATACGTTGGAATTAGGTCAAGTTGTTTTCTTGAGATAAGATCCACATTGACATGAGCATGTCTTACTTTAAAAAAAAAAAAATTAACACCACTGATTGTTTAATCAACAACAAACTAGTTTTTTTTAAGACCTCAAATGGGACAGTTAAAAAAAAAAGTGGCTGAACAAAGAAACGACACATGATACTAGCGAATGGTGGCAATGAACACCTGTCTTGCTGCATAGGTATGATTTCCACTTTTGCGTTTTTTGTTTTGTTTTTAAATCGCTTTATTTTATTTTCTTTAAGATAGTATAGAAACTTGACATTTGTTGACATCTCTACAAATATTTAAAAAAAAATATATTATGACTTTGGGAATTTGAAGAAAAAAAAAGCTGATACTTTGGATAATCGGCAATCGGAAAATCGATGAGTCCCTGCACAAAACTTGAACTAGATGGTTTGGTAATGTTCATACAAAATAAAATGAAGGTATTATTGTATCTTAGCAACCTATTAGGGTTGTGAAACTACGCCATCTGACAAGGCTTAAATCCTTAAATATTCTGGAAAAGGTGTTGGTTTTTTTTCCCCCTCAAAAGAGACTTGTTTCATCTTAAGACTGCTTGTTATTAGCACAGAATTAGATGTGTTTTAAAAGAGCCGACCGTCATTTTATCAAACATGGATGTGTCATGACGTCGTCGACTAGTTTCAAAGATGACATGGCTTTACAGACAAAAAAAAATGAAATCACAAAACGCCCTTTTCTAACTGACAAAAGACACCCTCCCCTCCCCCCTTTCCCCAAACATCGTGTACAGTTTTTAAGATCCGCGTGATAATTGTATGTTATGAACTGGAGAAACGGTGAACTTTGTTTGACATGTCCTGCTATCTCTTCCTGGTACAGCACGCCAACAACCTCATGACCAGAGATAAAACATGTGGGCTTAATGAGAGAGCAACGAATGAATCACGTGTGTCAGTGATTGAGATGATTTAAAAGAACAAAATTGCCGGCATTTTTCAAGCGTCTTTAGCGCGACATTTAAAAAAAAAAATTTCAGCTGCGTTATTGATCTGAATGATTTTATAGGGCTCCCTACCTTAGTTCATAACAACGTGTTCACTTCAAGGAAAGTGCCCCGACGGAAAAACTTCTCTTTTAATTGAAATGAAAAATGTATATAGTTATGGCATTTAACAGCTATGCTGGAGTTTAAATTTTAAGATAGAATCTTGAATTTTCCAGAAAGTTATTTATTTTTATACGGGTATCTATATTGGGATCTAAAAGCTTATGAAAAACGAATTGTTAGTTTCAGCGATTTGTATAGATTTAGATACCTCCCTCAAGATTGTCTCGTTTTAGGCGAGTTATATTTGTATAAGTGTCTTGAAAATTTGTTGGCTATTCTAGAAAATTCAAAATTTTCCTAGTCCGTGTCAAGATAAAATAATTGTCCCAAGCAAATTTTAGCTTAGCTCCTTAGATTTCATGTAAAAATTTTCAATTTCGGATAATTAAAATTTTATAAGTTTCCCGAAGTTTTTAGATCATTCCAAAATGATCGATTTTCTTCTATAAAAGTCTCTTATTATTGTAAGAATCGCACCGGGGAACGGAATGTGCGTACAAGCTATTATGAGGGGGAGACACTCCATTCCGATTAGTTAGAAGTGTTTTCAGTGAATGGGATAACTTGTAACTGTAGAATGACAAAGTATTTGCGGTATGATACATTCTAGCTGTCACGACATTAAAATGTGTTGGTGGTATAAATTATTCTCATTGTTGTGATACAGCATTGTAAATTTTTTCATAATACACATTCTCTAAACTCTTATATTCGCTTGTTTTGAATGTTACTTTCAAAAAATTTATGACTTAACGTGAAATAATTCCTATGGCGTGCTATGTTGGATCTTCTGAGAGTTGGATCATTTTCTTTAAAATTATGACGGATGAAATGACAAATTTTCTTCTTAACTCAAAAAAAAAAACAACAAAAAAAACAACAACGAGGTCATTTTTTTGTGTGAATATTTTGCTTCAAAGATTCTCTTATTTATTGCTAGTTAAAATTATAGCTTTTTTTCTTATTCAATCATATTTTTCAATTCATGTTTAGCCTTTTATTTATTTTAAAATAAAGATCTTTAATTTGGCCATGCGTTTCAGTCAAAAACATGGCTATGACAGATAAGCTTCATTTGCCAGAGCCCAGAGATCCGGCTACAGCTTGAATTATACCTTGAACTGTTGTTAGAAAGTCCTCAGCATTTCTCTTTCGACCAAGAAGAGTGCTAATAGTGTTTACGAGAGCATCAATTTCATGGCCGATGGCAGGTAAGTCAATGGTTCTTTTTCCAAAGAGAGTAGTGCTAATAGGGTTTACATTATCATCAATTAGAATGGCGATGGAATTTAAGTCAATGTCTCTCTTCCCACCGAGAAGAGTGCTTATAGTGTTTACGAGAGCATCAATTTCATGGCCTATGGCAGGTAAATCGATGTTTCTTTTACCTGAACCCAGTGGTCCGGATATTATTGGAAGTAAATCTTGAATGGTTTTAAAAAAATCATCAATATTTCTCTTTCCACCGAGAAGAGTGCTAATCGTGTTTACAAGAGCATCAATTTCATGGCCGATGGCAGGTAAATCGATGTTTCTTTTACCAGAACCCAGTGGTCCGGATATTAATGGGAGTAACTCTTGAATGGTTTTAAAAAAATCATCAATATTTCTCTTTCCACCAAGAAGAGTGCTAATTGTGTTTACAAGAGCATCAATTTCATGGCCGATGGCAGGTAAGTCGATGTTTCTCTTACCACCAATTGGTCCGCCTATTATTGGAAGTAACTCTTGAATGGCTTTAAAAAAATCATCAATATTTCTCTTTCCACCGAGAAGAGTGCTAATCGTGTTTACAAGAGCATCAATTTCATGGCCGATGGCAGGTAAATCGATGTTTCTTTTACCAGAACCCAGTGGTCCGGATATTAATGGGAGTAACTCTTGAATGGTTTTAAAAAAATCATCAATATTTCTCTTTCCACCAAGAAGAGTGCTAATTGTGTTTACAAGAGCATCAATTTCATGGCCGATGGCAGGTAAGTCGATGTTTCTCTTACCACCAATTGGTCCGCCTATTATTGGAAGTAACTCTTGAATGGCTTTAAAAAAATCATCAATATTTCTCTTTCCACCAAGAAGAGTGCTAATTGTGTTTACAAGAGCATCAATTTCATGGCCGATGGCAGGTAAGTCGATGTTTCTCTTACCACCAATCGGTCCGCCTATTATTGGAAGTAACTCTTGAATGGTTTTAAAAAAATCATCAATATTTCTCTTTCCACCGAGAAGAGTGCTAATCGTGTTTACGAGAGCATCAATTTCATGGCCGATGGCAGGCAAGTCAATGTTTCTGCTGTCAGTTGCTGATACAAAATCGGTTGGCCTTGCCGAGGCTATCGCAACAAGAGAAAGAACCACAAAGAAGGTCTTCATCTGTAACAAGAAACAGAAGTATTTTCAATTGACATACTGAATTAAGCTTGTTTAGCTTGTATATGCCGAATACTCCATTTTAAAAATCCCCCTATAAAAGTAATGTTGGTATTTTAATTTTTAAAAAAGGACTAAACCCAAACAAATGAAAAAAAATTTTTTTTTTTACCTAATTAAAATTAAACATATGAACTAATGACTCTCATATTTCTACGAGATAAAATGCTTTAAGCCAACGTCTTCGTTGACCACCTGTGATATATTATTCATAGCTCAGCAAACATTTATAATATGTGGGATAATACAGCCTGATGAGAATTACTGTTTAAAAAAATGACATGGATATCTTTTTGTTGTTTTAGACAGAAATTTTCTTCACGCAGTACTGCAATATCCCACCTCGCTGATGCAACTGATTCACGCACCTTTCTTGCTGGTGCAACAGACAAACGCGCCCATCCTGCTGGTGCCAGATACACAAGCACCAAGCTTGCAGGTGTAACTGACACACGCACCCCTAGTGCTGGTGCAACAGACAAACGCGCCCATCCTGCTGGTGCCAGATACACAAGCACCAAGCTTGCAGGTGTAAGTGACACACGCACCCCTAGATCTGGTGCAACAGACAAACGCGCCCATCCTGCTGGTGCCAGATACACAAGCACCAAGCTTGCAGGTGTAACTGACACACGCACCCCTAGTGCTGGTGCAACAGACACAAGAACACATCTTTTTTTTTTTTAAATTCGTTGTAGTTTGGCGTCAGTGTGATTAAGTCAAAGAACAGAAGAAGAACAGAAGAAGAACAGAAGAAGAACAGAAGAAGAACAGAAGAAGAACAGAAGAAGAACAGAAGAAGAACAGAAGATATTTACCAAGAGTTTTTTAGCTTCCTTTAAAAAAAGTTGTTCTAATTGTGTTAGCTGCTGTTGGCGTTAATCTTATGAGAGTGTTTTTGTTAATGATGACAACTAAACCGAAGTAAGAAAGTAAAGGGGTCAACCTGGGACCCCAGAACAGCAATCCATAAAAAAAGCATATACTCTTTTGTACGTTGCCTGTCGTTGTTTTTTTTTCAATCTTATATTCATTCATTGACTTTTTAATAATCAAGTTACCACCCACTACTGTCCACCCTCACCCCTGAACTATATAAAAATTCTAATGGGCTAACCCCTATTCATGAAACCGACACCGAATCCTCTATATGCACTAAAAGCGCAGGTTGATCTTGTTACATAGAATTGTGAAAAATCCACACACATCTTCATCACTTCACATTATAGTACATGTGAAATACAAATATCTATGTTACAGAATGTTACAGAATGTTACAGAATGTTACAGAATGTTACAGAATGTTACAGAATGTTACAGAATCAAGAAAACATTTTTATTTTATAAAGACTCCCTATCTAATGAACAGCAACAAGGAGATAGAGGGTAACCCCGGCGAAATCAATATATATATATATGGCTATTAGTTAAATACTTTAATCCTAGCTTACCCAAGACGTATCATTGAACGATATAGATGGATAAAGATACGAACAGACGGACAGTTGAATAGGTGAGAACTTACCTTCGGTGGGCACGATACAACGTATTGAAAGCTTAGTAGCAGGTGTTCAGACAAAATGGTGGCTTCTTTTATATTCTTGCGTATTCTTGTTTCGTTATCAGTTTAAATGTAAAAAAGAATTTAAAAAAAAAAGTTTATTCTATGATTGTATTGTATTAAAAAAAATCATTTTCAAAATTATTTTTAAAAAAAAAAATTTTTCAAAGAAAAAAAAAAAAAAAAATTAAATAATTACACAACGTTTTTGTGTGTGTGCTTTTTTTTTATCGTACTTTTGTTTCAGTTTGCTTTCTGAAGCACTGAGAGCTAAATTTAGATACTTTATCGGAGTTTCGTGAGTTCACTTACTTCTTGAATTAAAAAAAAAACACGACAATTGTGTTCATGTTGTCTTAAACCAAAGTTGCGAAGACAGCCCATTCATAATAAGTTGGACATTCATAACATGGTCATTACCCACGCTCATGATTGAGACAATTCTATTAGACACCAATTTTATTGGTGAACTGTCAAATCGGGAGAAACACAAAAAAACAATAACAGACGTCTATTTTTGGAATCAGTGAAAATTAAAACCATTCTTTTTTTAATTTTAAAGTAAATCATAAGACCTACGTGCAAACGTGCATGACACGTGATCGGTTGATTTATTATGAGAGACATAAGTATTGCAAAACATTCATTAAGAAACACTAGTTGAATAAATATAGAGGACAATAAATGTAGCACTGATTTCAAGCTATGTTTAGGATATAGTAGAACAAGGTGTGTGGAAGCTTGAGTTAAGACACAGGACAATGAGACGCGAATGTCTCGGCTAAGAGCCTTCATCAGCAGACAGGACAAATGAAAATAGGATAATAATGTATGAAGGAACACCAGTTTAAGAAATATTTTATAAATGAGCATTAGTTTTATTGAAAGTTTGTTAACATATCCATTTTATATATATTTGTTGAGTATTTTAAGTTAAAGAATAATAATTATAAGTTACTGCAATAAGCCTTTAAAAGATCATTTATTGCGTTATCAAAAATACTTTTATTTTAATATCATCAAATAACCTACGTGTTAATCTATTTATTTACTTAGCGAACAAAATAATTTCATTAAAACCATTAAACTACTTTATTTTTTTTTAAATTACTATTTTAACTTTTCTATGTCGACCTTCCCCATGTTAGATCTATATTTTCCATGCTAACTTTTACAAGATAACTTTTCCATGTTAATTTTTTCTATTGTAGCCTGCTCATGTTCAATTATGTGTAACACACTCGTTCCTCATTAAAATGCGCTATATGATTATTGTTAATGATACATTTTTCCCCCATTACTTAAGAGCAGTGTCTTCCAAATAATGAGTCATGAGTCGGTCTACGGGGCCGCGCGGGCAGATATACTGTTCACGAAAATACTTCTTGAAAACCCTTGCTTTCGGGGAATTCTGTTGTTTGTTTCTTTTTTGTTTTTGTTATTGTTATTTTTCTTGTTCTTTCTTGTTGTTGTTGTTGCTGTTATTTTGGCCAAACCCCACCGTAAAAATAAAACCTCTTAGCTGTTAGCAGTAATTATCCTGAACCCTAGTAGCTTTGAGATCCAGCCACACCAATGTATTTTTACACGACTGTGCCCCAACAGACACCAATACGAAATAAGCTTTTGAGAGACCGAGCGCGTTTACTTTCTGTTGAAGGAAAGACTGGTTTAAATCTTGAAGAGCACGTCAGTTTACGGATTAAGTTCAGAGGTGAGGCATGTTCTTTCTGTCTATTTAATCCTTCGACAGCTTCGTTCGTCCGCCGACACGCGTATTCTGTCCGTTCCCAAGACACGCACTAAAACATATGGTGAACAAGGTTTCTCTTTCTGCGCCCACAGACAATGGAATTCTTTGCCACTGCACATCCGCATTATACCAACCACCCAGGCCTTCAAAGCTGCACTCAAAACACATCTCTTTAAACTAGACTACCCTGACTGATTCCCCTCCTCTGACCGATAAACAATGCTGGTGGCTGCCGTCCATGGTTTGCCTTGTAAAAGTTCTGGGTTGTTTCATGTATGTATTTTATTTTAATGTCACGATTATGTCTCTTTTGATAATAGTGTTATGTACAGCGCGGTGAGCCCAGCCCTAGGCTGGGGTACCGCGCTATATAAGCTCACTAATTATTATTATTATTATTATGTTATCAGCCGAATCAGTCGATTCAAGTGCCGACTAAAGGGACCGAGCATGTAAGTTGATGTAAAGGACCAAGCAAATGAGTAGACGTAAGGCATCACGCAGGCGAGAATCCATATATAATTGGTGTTGGTAAAGATACGTTCGCTGTCTGATCAATCCTCAGGATTTGACAATTACCACCCCACAGCAAAGTTACACGGGTAGCAGCTCCAAAAAAATAGATAGTCTCTTTGTATGCGTGTCAATCTCCCTGACCATTAGCTTGCGAACCTGAAATAGAATTGAACCCCAGCTCATGGTACAGGTCAAAAATTGATCACTGCCTGGGTTTCCAGAGAATCTTACCATCTTTTTGACAGACCCTTCCCGAAAAGACTCGACCAATGCACTTTTACTGTACATCAAAAACTTGCATCTCGTGCAAACATCTGAAACTGACACCAGCTTGCAAAAAGAGCTAAACTTTATTATTTGTTGTTTTGTGTGCGTACCAATCTGCAGTTTCGTAAGTTCCATCTTCTGAATGAGGTGAACGTCTGCCTCCTTCCATGATATTCATCAATGACTTGGCGTAGAACTCGTCCCCTGTCGTCAATTATCCAGAACGCATACCCCCTCCCCCCACACACACAGAATAATTCTACCTGGAATAATCCATCATTTTCCATATTGAAATCATGGAGATGAGCAAACAACTGGTGCACAGATATTACTTCTTTCCTGTATGAAATGAATGTCGTTACTTAAAAAAATGTAAAATACTTAATATCAATTACAAAATAACAAAATTCAAATTTTTAAAAAAATATGATTAACAATGAAAATTATCTTGTCATGTTACGGGAAAATAAATATGAAAAATGTGGTAGAGATGTATTAAAATTATTATTTTTTACTTTCATTAAACGGGAAACGAAAGCAAAGTTTTAAGCTATCCGTCCAGCTGTCTCCTAGAACTGTTGACCCTTTGCTTTTCAAAATGTCTCTAATCCCGTTTAATTTTGAATTCCTGACAGATTTTGGTAGTCGTTCCCTGTCAACTTTGAGTGATTTGTTTAAGGTCTAATTTTTAAATTGTCCTCTGGTAACTTAAATTATGTTTTTATGATGTATTTTTTATAGCCGTACCAAGGAAATTTCAAATGATGTTTAAAAGATGTACTTTTGATAGCCGTACCATGCAACTTCAAATGATGTTTAAAAGATGTACTTTGATAGCCGTAACAAGCCAAATTCAAAAGATTTTTCAAAGATGTACCTTTGATAGCCTACCAGGCCAATTTCAAATGATGTTTAAAATATGTACCTTTAATAGCCATACCAAGCCAACAACAAATGATGTTTTGAAGATGTTTTTTTTTTCCCACCACATGTCCAAAAACTTAGCTCAAAAATGGTTTATAAAACTTTTCTTTGAATAGATTTTTTTTTTAATTTGGGACAAAGCTGGAATGCAAGGGTCAGAAGAAAGATGTTTTGTTCACAAGTTAGAAGCTTTATCTACCAAGTATCGTAATGTTTTGTCAGAAATTAAAACACAAAAAAATCGTTTTAAGTGCAAGCATCAAAATAAAATAAAAATTATAAACATAATTTAGACCAATTCTTGATATTTTACACAAGAACGAACTTAACTTGATGAAAAACCATGAATACAAAGTATTTTTCATTGATCAGCGTTATAAGAAGAAATATTTTGACAGTGATTTATCATATATATAATAAAATGTTAACACAATTAAATGTCAGCTTTATTTTTCATGGCAAAACATTTTCATTTAAAAAGAAGACCTTTTGCATTCTAACTTTAGCTAACCTAGAAACAAAGAACTTTGGTTAAATTAAACAGGTATATCACAAATTATGAAATGACAATGTTCTTTGACCCCGAAAAAACACTTTATCTTTTATGAGAAAGCAACAGCAGAATCATATAAACAAATGGTTCTCAAAGTGGTGGAAGTAGCTGGTATACCCACGGGTGCTGGAATGAATTTTGAAGTGTTTTTTTAAATATTTTTAAAGAAAAGATAATATATTGTTCGGACTATTGCCTTCATCTTAGAGTCGAGGACAGCCATTTAGGACCGACCGAAAGTGATTTTCTTATTTCGGCTGAAACCAGAACAAAGTTTTAAAATTGCTCTTGGCAGAAGATGAAGCCAAAAGTTTAACGGGACTTTTGGCCGAAACCGAAGCGAAATAAAAAAAAAAAAAAAAAAAAAAAAAAAGTGAACCTGACTCTCATACAGTTTTCCCAAGGAAGTGAACTGTACTCTTATACAGTTTACACAAGGAAGTGAACCTGACTCTCATTAAGTTTACACAAGGAAGTGAACCTGACTCTCATACAGTTTACACAAGGAAGTGAACCTGACTCTCATAAAGTTTACACAAGGAAGTGAACCTGACTCTCACCCAGTTTAAAAAAAAATATTTTCTGTAATCTTAATGTTACAGTCAAATTGTGTAATCCAGCAATTTCAACGAATGCCTTGGTAAAATGTATAATGGCTTATGTATATTACACTTTGACTAGGCATTCTATAGAATGGCCAGATTATACACTTCCGCTGTAACATTTAAATCTATGAATATATCTAATCAATTTTGGTAATGCTATTTTAGAATACAGTAATCAATACCGTACGAAAAATTTAATTTTAAGCATTCTTTCCCCTACTATAACAAGTTCTAGGCCTACAATGTACAACAATTTATAATAGGTTTGAAGTATATAGCCTAATAAATTAATACTTATATATTAGTAATACTACAACTCAGTGGCGAAGCTAGGGTTGGTTTCACCCGGTGCGGTAAACCGATGGTGTCAACCCCCACCTCCGACTTCCAAGATGGATTTGCTATGGTTAAAATAAGTCAACAGCATAACAATGA